TTCGAACCTCTTTGGAAAGAGAATAAAGAAGAGACCTCGAGAAGCTTTGCAGTTAGAGTCAACTAATCAATTTGTAGATTAAAGACCCAATGAGTTCAAGTACTCCCAAAGAAGGCCTTCCAGTCTTAAACTCTCGCTTTTTAAAAACAGTATGTATGCATTCACTCATCTAGAAATAAATAATCGTAAAAGATTAGCTACTAATTTTCTATGGATAATAATAAAAATTTCCTAAAAATTTACCAGATTTAGAGATACAATGCTATTAGCAATTATCAGAATTCCAAAGTTAAGTTTTCAAAATTCGTAGTTTTCAAGTTGATCATTTCTTTCAATAAAAACATAAAATATTGAATGCAGTGAAAACAATAGAAAGGTACATATTTTGGCTGTCAATTAGCATTGCTTCAAATGCTTTGCGCAGTCGCGGTAGCGGCGATGAAGACGTTATTCATATTCTTTTTGAGTGTATTCACCATGTCCAGCAGAGAATGATCCTTCAGACTACTGTCAAAGGATCTGCCTGCATCTCAAGCACTAATATCTTGTAAAATATTGTGGTTTGGTTTGGTTTATTTAATCATGGTAAAGCCCGCTAGGGCTATCTGCCTAAACGGAGGGATGCCGTTTGTGAAGCACTTTCTAACAGAAAATGGCTGTTATTCATGTTACACAAGGGGAAAACCTCGAAAATGTCCATGCATCCCTTTGGCTTGGAATCGAATCCATGTCGAACTAGCAGTGTTCAGCGACTTTGCTGATCGACACGAACTGTTACAGACTGAAGAAATAATTTACAGATTTTGAAATTTCATTCTGAATTTCTAAAATTTTTGAGTTTTTAAAATTTTACTTTTTAAAATTATTATTTAATTTTTTCTATTCCTTTTTTATAGTATTTTTGTGTTTTTTTATTTATTTATTTACTCTGTTATTGCTATAACTTACTTTTGTAAGCCTCGTGATACATTTTATGAACACCAGGAGTTGGAGCTTAAGTAACCGCTCCTGCCCACACACACAAAAAAATAGTACCAATCAAGGTTTAATATTTAAAAAGTTAGATCAGAATACAAAATATTCCAGGAATGATTTTGCTGCATAAACATGTCTCATACTGTAGTTATTTTAGCGCCATTCAGATAGAATACACTTTACACTATAATAAATACGCTGACTACAGATTGCATGTATAGCACAAATGAGGTGCAGTAAAAAAATAATCTAGGCAGTATATTTTGAAACAGTTACAGTTAGCGAAATGAAGCGAATTACAGGTTTGAGGAATGCAATGTCACCGGCGGTCGAGAGGTGAAATCTGTGACCGCAAGTAATTCGTAATGGGTTCAGATCACGTCGGATAGACTGGCTGCAGGGGAGTTTTCGTGGTTTTTCCCATCGGTAAAGTGAATATGAGCCATTTACCTTAAAAAAGCTTCCGATTTTTTAAATTTTTTTCCAGATATCACCGTACGTTTAGAGCTATATCTCCCATTGATAAACTTTATCCAAATGTCTAAATTTATTTCGAATACATTGCAAGAGGCAAATGGTTTTTTTTTTTTTTTTAAGTGAAAATAGGTTGATGTGTACATGGATACCAAGTATGTCCAATTCTTAAAAACGCGTCAAGCAATGGGTGATTCTGCACTTTACCCAAAATTCTATTGCAGATTTTTCGTCATTCCCAAATTGTTAAATTCATAGGATATCAAAAAAGGATTTAAAATCAGAAAAGGATTTAAAAATTAAACTAGTATTTCAATGGCGTCTTAAGAAATATAGAACTATATAAACTTGTGCGCGCTCTGAAATCAGCGGGTACGCTAGATTTGGCGCTCTGTTAAACGGGCGCTTTTGCTAGAATTGGCGCTTTTGCGCATACATTTTCGCTGCAATTTTTTTACGGTCTTCAAAACGGAATAGTACCGGTTTGGGATAAGATTTCCGAATGTTTTTTGTATGAGTTTAAACGAGTGCTGGCTGATTCCATTTGATAGCTTTGCGGGCTACAATTCTAAAAAAATAATTTTTAAAACTATAAGGCATAAACAATTATCACATTTTCTTTTCATCAGCCTTTCCTAGATCAAATTAAGCTAACTAGTCATATTTTAAAGTGTTAACCGATTTAGGAGTGCTGCCATCATTTAGTGATTTTTTAAACCGTTTCAGATGTTTTTTGAATTTTCCCTATTTATCAGAGTATTTATTATATTTAAAGAGTTCGATTCCTTCTTTCATAAGATGCGCATTTCTTCGACACTTTATGTTTAAATTTCATGGTATTATTGTAATTTTTCTAATGAAATTTAATACCAAATCAAAATTTAGTTTGTAAAATATTCGCGAGCACCTAACTCATACACTCTCAAAGGTTCTCGGACTAGACCATTATGCTCGTTTATAAAGAGATTTAAGTACGGTAAGTTTTTAGTTCAACTAGATTAAAAAAAAGTTTGGGGCTAAAAAATTGTGCTTTCTTCTATAAATATAAGTTAGTTTCTAAGTTCAACACAGGCAACAATGTTTTTCCGCAAATATCTGAATTATGCCGTCTTGCTGCATGTTCTGCGAACAATAACGCTGTTTTATTTATTTATTTGTATGATTTTTATTCCTTGACAACAATTTGGTAATGTTTACTTTTAATTGTTAATTTCTACTTTAAATACCCCTTGGTTCATTTTCATTGCGGCCGCGTAATTGTACGAGGGTTGGAACTTTAATAGTGGCAACAGAGCTGATAAAATGCTACGCAACAAAACCAAAGAATATCACGTATACCACACGTAAACTACATACCTATCTTACCTCTCAGCAAAAAGACTCGTCCTGCCTATGTTACGCGCATGCGGAGTGACGCGAAGAACGATTCCTTGTATTAGCTCGTGGTCTAAAGTGTGTTGTCAGGATGTTTTCAAAACAAGAACAACGATGTTGGATAAAAATTGAATGTGCCAGAGGTCGTACAGCACGACAGTGTCATCAAGGGCTTCAAGAGGCTTGCGGGGAATCTGCATTGCCTTACAGAACCGTAGCAAGATGGGTGAAAGCATTCAATGAAGGACGCCAAAACGTGGCAGACATGCTGCGGCCAGGTCGTCCGAGTGTCAGCGATGCAGACGTGAAAGCTGTTGCCGCACTAATGGATCGCCAAACGATTCGTCAGCTGGCCGAACAAACAGGATTAGCGCATACGACTGTGCTGCACATTCTGGAGGAACGCCTGTCCATGAGAAAAATTGCTTCACGATGGGTTCCACATCAATTGACGGAAATGCAGAAATGGCTACGATACGATGCTGCCCGAACCTACCTGGAGCGCTATGAGCGTGAACGAGATGCTTTTTTACGCCATATCATTACGCTGGATGAGACTTGGGCCCAATCGTACCAGCCAGAACTGAAACGACAATCAAAGGAATGGCGTCATCACGGGTCACCACGACGTTCGAAATTTCGTCAGAATCCCAGCAATGTGAAAGTTATGGTGATTCTCGTGTACGACTGTGATGGTGTCATCCTAACGCATACCGTTCCCCCACAGCAGACTGTCACTGCGCAATATTACTGCTCATTTTTGGAGCACAATATCCGACCAGCTTTGAGAAAAAAACGGCGACCCTTTCTGCAGAACGCTCCTCTCATTTTGCATGACAATGCTCGGCCGCATGCAGCGCAAGCTGTGACTGATTTGTTCAAGCGATGGGGCTGGGAAGTGCTTTACCATCCATCATACTCCCCAGATCTAAGCCCTTCTGACTATGACTTAATTCCTAAGATAAAGGAACCACTTCGTGGCACTCGCTTCCAAACTGTTCTAGAGATTCTTGCGGCAGTAGACCGGTCCATTCAAACTATCAACAAAACAGGCGCTGCTACAGGTATTCTGCGACTTCCACATCGTTGGAAACGGGTTGTACACAATGCTAGCGACTATATTGAAGGACTGTAAAACATGGTGACATGAATCACTTTTGTATTCCTTGTAAATAAATAGTTGCCACTACTAAAGTTCCAACCCTCGTATGTTAACCTATGTAAAGATTCTGCCCTTGTTTGGCACTGTACCTTTTGTTCCTGGAAACAAATTAACACTGGACCCGCCATTTTGGCTTAGAGTATTCCTCGGGAGCACTTGGTCGGATGGACTGCTACCCGGATGAATAGGGTGCTGGGTCTGGGCGTCTGGTGCGAGTCTCACGTGTGGCCTTATTCTGGCCTTGCTCTGGGTATTGGAGGACGTGGCGCTAAACCAATTAACCATAACGGTAAAGGGATGGTGCCCACGTTCCCCGTTCCTAATCCTAATCCTACATGGAAGGAAAACTGGCTTGTAAGGAGAAATATTAAATAAAAACCGGAAACTGTATTCCGCTGAAGTGAAGTGTTCTTTTATAAGTTCTTACACGTCTTTTTGGGAAGAGCTTATTAGTTGAAGATATTTTCCTTTTAATTTTTTTTCTTTGCTGACACAAATAAGGGTCAACATTTATGAGCCCCCATCAGTAGCCGAGCGGTTGAAGACTGCTGAATACTGGTAGTTAGTCTTGGGTTCGAATCCAGGCGAATATCAAATCCAGGCTTCATGTTTCACTTCTGTGGACTTCCACATGCTTTGTGTGAATGTGAGCCATTTCTCTTACGAAGTCCTCCAGGAAGGTATATCTCGCCATTTAGGCAACTAGGCTTTGTGTGCTACATCGTATTCAAATAACCTAACCTAATGAACATTACTGGTCGCATAATAATTTTCTTTATTTTTATTTATTTCGTTTTTGCCTAAAGCACGTTTTAAAAGTCTAGTAAGATTAATTCAACTTGCTTTTGGAATGGAAAAATTTCGAACATATACGTTCAAAACGGGTAACACTTTCAGGTATTTGAGATAAATTTAAAAATATATCCGTTAAACTGATACTAAATGCAACTTTAATTAATGATTTAAGAATATGTGAAATTATTTCTAAACACATTTATTGCATGCTTTGTCTTACCTGACCTTTCATCAATAGTCCATTTTTCTTCGTCATCAAAATGGGCATCGCCACCAAACTGTGGGAAAAAGGCATGAGCTAATGTTTTTCCCGGACCATCAAAAGCGTCCCCGTCTCCATGTTCTCCTCTTTCAAAGCGAATATCAATGTTGACTCTTCCTCTTTTACGTTCTTCGAATGACAGCGTCGTTACATCACTCCAAATCTAAAATGTATTGAGGCGTTAAGTTTGAATTATAGAATGTTCTGTTGTAAGCAATTCTTTCCGAAATAGCTGGTGTAAGAAAGAATATTATAAGTTACTTACCTTGAAAGCACGAGCTACTTCTTTATCTACCTTTGTCCTATCCTTCAGCCTTGTAGGGTATTTTGTAATTCGATATGTTAAATGGGTAACTCTCCATTTGCTTCCTAAGGTATATTTATGTAAATTAATGCATAAATTAAAATGAAAACCTGTTTCTCGAATAAATTTTACATAATTTTGTCGCGAAAATGTATTTTTAACATTTTGGTTAAAAGAGCACTTAAAATAATTGTAATTTGCATATTTACAATCATTATCAAAGAATAAAATATAAAGTTTCGAATATTAGCCTACATCTTGAAACAATATTATTCTCAGATGTTATCCCATAAATAGAAACGGATTGAGTATATAGTTTTAATTTAAAATATATAGAAGATTTGCCTCCTGATTTGGCAAAAGTTTGTGAGGGATTTTTTTCATTCTTCACTATATGTTTTCGTGGTGTAATTCTGGTTAGCATCGGGAGGTCCAGACTTCGAATCCGGGTCAGGCCATCGCATAATTTTTAAATTTCCTGCTTCAATAAACCTAATGACTTTGCAATTTAATGTTAGGTTTTCTTATATCCGGTTTAATTTAAGTTTGATTCTAAACACTAACTGGTTGATCTTTGGATTATGGTAAGTTGGCGATTTTTTGGCGAAAATTTGGCGACCAACTCTGCTACAGCAAACTTCTATTTTTTTTTTTTTTTTCGCCGCCATTTTGTCTTCACGAAGTAAAGACATGTTTCTTTTCTTTTTATTTACTGAACACTTTTCCCAACAATCTACTAGCCGAATTACACTTATGCTAGAAATTTTATGTAACAAAACTGCTTAATCATGACAAATATTAACAGCAAAATTGGAAAAAAGTGCACAATCGCAAACTCCTTGCGCTTTTTTCAGAATAGCACATACACATAAACCATTTACACGTCGACTTATTTTTACTTAAAAAAACTTCCCAGAATTGCACAAAAATGGCATTGCACACACTCTTAACTTTATCCATCTACACTGCTATTTTCTCATAAATTACAAAAATATGCACGAAAATGCAAAAAAAATTCTGTGAATCTTTAAACTCCGTAAAAAGCACATATATGAAATTACCTGATCGCGGAAAAGTATATACCCTTTCCAAGGATGAACATTTCCACGTATAAAATAAATAAAATATCCAAAAACTTTTACCTCTAAATTATCTATTATATTATAAACGTCACCAACGAATTCATACCGCAAACATTATAAATGGTTACAAATACTTAGTGTCAAATATTTAAATTATTTCCATATACGTTTACTTCAACTGAAACGTATACCAAATTCCTACAAACATAAAATTCACAAAATAACTATCATTTAATTAAAATATCACTAAACCATGTACACGTCGACTTATTTTTACTTAAAAAACATCCCAGAATTGCACAAAAATGGCATTGCGCACACTCTTCACTATATCCATGTACACTGCTTTTTTCTCATAAATTAGAAAAATTTCACGAAAAATGCATGAAAATACTCAACGTATTCCAAAATACTACAAACATATAACTCACAAAATCACGATCATTAAATTAAAATATAATTAAATTAAAAAACACTACTTAAAATATAAATAAGCACATACATTAAATTAATAAACATTAGATTACAATCCTAATTACTTTAAACTAAATCATTGCTAATAACAATTTTCCAATATCATCATATTAATTTATTTACTCCTTACATTTAGAACAATGCATAAAAATAATATCCTCAAATGATTAAAAATACTAACTTACCTAATCTTCAGAATCTTCATTATATGGCACGCACACTTCCACTATTTCACACAACACACAATGAAGCTTAATACAAAATGATATAGTACTACAGTTTTCCAAATTCCCCCCCCTTTTCCGATTAAAGAACTGTAATTCGTCCATTAATGTCACATGACATATCTCATGATCTCTCATTTCCCTCACACAAAATAATGCATAATCGGAACTGACTACTTCTCACATTATTACCAAAGTCCTAGGTAGTAACCTTCATCGCCTCCAAAATGTCGCCAAACTACCAGTTACCGTATTCCAAAGATCAGCCCACTAACTTTCCTCATACTTCATATATAATTCATCTCGACAAATCCCTTTACAGCCACGGTTGCTTGATAAATGAATTACAATAGTTATGTTATTTCTTTCTACATTCTCAAAATTTGATAAAAACATTTATTTATACACATCTGTTATTTGCAAATGTAATTCTATATATAACTTTTGAAAAATAATCATCTTGAATAAAAGGCTATAATACATAACAGGAATAACAAAACATATTTAACGTAAATTCAAAATTAATTTTATATGCATTTTGGGCCACTTTTCGAAGCCCACCAGCGGCCGAGCGATAAAATTGCTTAACACTGGTTGGCGAATTAAGGCGAACGGCCTTACTGCATGGGCGTTTTCGTGGCTTTCCCCATGCGCAACGTGTATAAAAAGCTAGTTTCCCTTAGAAAGTCTTCCGTGAAGGCATCCTTCGCCTTAAGCAGGCAGCCCCAAGGTGCTTTGCCATAATAAACTAAACCAAAGCTACGTTTATGAAGGAGTTCAAATTTCTTTTTTTTATACAGAAGTTCTAGAATTCTAGTTTATATTCTTATTTTGATTGTGAAGAATTTTATTTATTTCACACATATAACAATTGTTAATGACATTAAAAATTAATGTATATGAAGAATAGTGACATAAGAACCACGACGCTTACAGCTATGCTTCATTTCAGCTATTGTTTTGTAAAGAAATTGCAATGATTTTCCTTTAAAACAAAAAAACATGCACAAAATAAAAACTATTACTTATGATTTAACTAGATTAAGTTATGTATCGGAATACTTAAATAAATATTTTATAGTTTTTAGTACTATTAAGTAATGTATTGATATCCGTCTTTTTTTGGAAGTTCATGCACCTTTTAAAATGTTAAAACAAATTTAGGTGTACCCAAATGGGGATATATGTTATCAACCTTAGATATAGTAACTGTTAACCAGTATAAGCAAACAGCTGTCATAAACTGAAAGTCTGTGTCAAGAAGAAAGGTGACTGAACTAGTTTTGAAATTTTTCAGAAATTATACTTTCCAAAAATTTTATCAGGGAAATGTAAAGAAGAAAAAATAAATAGTTTTAATTAAAGCATGCAAATCAGAATTCTTTCTTTCCCTCTCCGAATCCTTTCATTTTGCTATTGGAAAAAAATTACACATTTATTAACTAACAAAAAGCTGGGTATATGGACGCTCTTACTGGATGATGGTGCGATGAAATTTGAGAAAGTTTAGTTCCCATGCTCTTTTGCTTGATCGTCGCTGCTGAATATTTATATGCCTTTATGAAACGTTTTTGGAAAAATTCCTAGGGCTATCTTAGTTATACTAAATTTCGTTGTTCACGATTTTTCTATACATATATTAGTCTTGCATCTGGGACCTTTAGCATCTGGGATCTTACTCCTAAAATAATGCGATCTGAAGATTTGATCTTTCCATTACTTCCTTTATTTTTTTCTTTTCATGTCTCAGTTTCTGGTGCCCACCAGCGGCCAAGCTGTAAAATCTCTGAATGCTGGCACTTCTGACCTGGGTTCAATTCCAGACGAACGAGCTGGCTGCATCGACGCTTGCTTGGTTTTCTCCATGTATAACGTGTATACGAGCTAGTTTCCTTAGAAAATTCTCCATGAAGGTTCTAGGCAGGTAGCCCTAGCGTACTTTGTTATAATCAGCTAAGCTATTAGGTTCAATGTTCCGTCTTACTTTCTTTGGGAACATGCAAGGACCTGACTTGGAACAGGGAGCTTACTAAAGCTATGTTCAATAACTGTGGGAAGTAGACAAGATCCACAGGAAGGGTATACAAAACCCTTTATTTTTCACTCTTTACAATAATTTCCGTACTTCGGAATACAGAGACCAACTACTTGTGGTCTGAACGTAAGAATAAAAATATAACTAAACTCTAACTTAACTTTGGAATAATAAACGTGGAAGATTGGCCTTATATTAACAGGAAGCCGTATGTAGTACAGAGAACTGTTAACACTACAATACGTTTAAAAATTATCACGAGGATTAAACCTCTGGCCTGGAAGGCAACCAGCAACCGAGTAAAACTTCTAAGGCAAGCGGCCTGCTTCGACTAACTCCTTCCTCCCTCTCGCTTGGCAAAAAGCCACAACTTAAGTACTTGGCGTTCGCCAGACAAATTTTGCATAAATAAGTTAACGCTTTTAATTCTGGCCGGAAGTAGAAAATAAGAAGTGATCGTAAAGATTTAAATAGAATCTAACGCGAGGCCAATCTTTTACAAACATTTCTCACTAGAAACTAGAAATTAAAAAAAAAAATTGTTTTTTTAACAATAGCAGCTCCATGGACAACCAATTTTTCATCTGTACTGCATCTAAACAGGAGCTTTTATTCAAATCTGGTTCCTTCCAGAGATCTGGAAGGAAAACTAGTTTAATGAAATGTTACACAATAAAATGGCAAGTAACATGCATATTTATATTTCTCTTAACATTCTTATTTCATTCATGACTATTTTAATTATCTCTCCCCGTGCTCACTGACATGTGTTGTAAAAGAACACCAAACACGAATGTGTTTATGTATACGTGTTCAACACTTCCTCCTACAATCAAAACACTAACGTGTTAAAATTCAACATCACAAGACCTCGTAACACACCCTATCTTCAACTCTAAACCCTGAGGTACTATTCTGAAAGTGGCTAACTCTGAAGTGTAGCGTCAGAGAGCCTAACTACATTCATTCAACCTTTAACACATATTCACCATAATTTGGTCTTTTTTCAGTCACATGAATAAGTTTTAAAATTTTTTCGCATTACTTTCACTTTTACCATATCATAGTATTTCTTAACATTTAAAATAACAATTCACATTGTATATAAGAACATATTAACATGCCGTTAATTTTACGCATTTTAAAACATACATTAGTAGTACATTGTTAACTTCTATTCTTTTCAAAGCAAGTGCCAATTCTTCTACATTGAAATACTACATTTCAAAAAGTCTTTCAGACTAAAAACT